GTTGCGTGCTCGCCTGCTCCGCTGGCGTTCGGCCAGGCCCCTGGGCAATGCGGCTGCTCCCCTGTGGAGTCGCTGGGGCAAGGCAGCCCTCGGGTGTTGGGCAGGACAAAGGAAGCCTTGGCCTTGAGGCTCAAATAAAACTGCCTTAAAGGGTTTAAAAGCAGTACTGCGAAGGAGCCTGCCGTCAACGCGTGGATTAAGGTCGTTACTAAGTGGCAAGCAGTGTTAGCCTGGTGGGTAACAGGAGCAGGCTTACGTTACACGTTTGTGCAAGACCCTTTAAAAAGGCAGAAAGCAAACAGCTAGATTTAGCGTTAGATTTTCACATGTAGAAGAGTATTATTTAGTTAGTGATAGCAAAAAAGAAAAGTTGAAGAGATTACGGTCTAGTTTCTTGTATCTTTTGAAGAATCTTGTTCTAGGTACCATTGGCCAGGGTGTACTAGGCTGTATGGAATATTTGGTGTGCTAATGCCCAGGTTTCATAAAATTAACTCACTGAATATTGCAGAGACAGTTCAGTATGGGGCAACAGTTGTAAGTGGAAAAAATTATAATAACACCTAAATTGGAAGTATGAGGAAAAGTATGATTTTTTTTTTTTTGACATTGCCTGAAGTTTCTTTTTGTTTCAAATTGACCAACTATTTAGAAGCCTTTTAGAAAAATATGTTGCTAAGTGTAAGCATGTTACTACTTTTGTATAGGAAGTAACTCAGGAGAAGTACAACTGGTGCATCAGGGCATCTTACACAGCTGTTTAATCCTGAGGATGAAAAAACCCCTTCTGCTTTGGTAGCATTACTTCACATGCAGTGTGTTTTTTCCATCTTTAGGAGATTCTTGTCTGTAATCATGGACAGCACGTTGTATTGCAGAAGTCATTAGCTTTGTTTGGCCCATAAATCTTTATGTTTCTATGCTGTTAGGTCATTGTCTTAATGGATGTTAAAAATAAATTAAAAAATCTAATCCTTTTTCTCCCTTAAAAATTTTGTGTGTACGATTTCTAAATAGCTTATCCTTATGTGAGGGTTGTAACTGATCATGAAGCTCTTGCAGTCAGGAGGTTATAGTTACTGACCATTCATAGCTTGCTTTGTCTAAGTTTGTATTTGGTTCATCATTAATTACTTAATCATGATTGTTTTCAAAATATATTTGCTTCATTCTTTAAACATTTGTTCACAAATGTGGGATTTTTTCTGAATTGTAGCCAAGAATTTTTTTAAAGTTACTTTTTACTTCTGACTTGGTATTTCTGTGATGAGAAAATGCCTTTCACTTAAGACACTAAAATTGAGAGCAAAACTTATGAAGGCTATTCAGTATTAGTAATTATATTTTATTATTTATTAATAATAATTATTAAACAGTATATTAGGGACTTAGAGGGCTATAGTTGTGTGCAAAAAGCACCTTCAAAGAATATTCTGGACTTGTAATTCAGTAGACTTCATAATAAAACACCTCATGGGTTTACTCATTCCTGAGCTAAAAATTACATATTTAAGCATACTTACTCATAGGAGCAAAAAGTGCTTTTGGGAGTTGGTTTGTTAGATGTATTGTTTCTGTTCAGATACAAGGCAGCATGTATATCTTAATTGTTTTTATTTAGTTAAAATTAAATGCTAACATGTTACATTTTTCTTCATTCTGTTGTCTGGGAAACACTACAGAAATTGCTTTAGGCTGTGATCACCTTGTTACCACTTTCAGGGTTTTCATTGACTTGTTGCGCCCTTTGACTTACTGTTTGTTCTGATATACTGTTTTATTTAAATAACATGGCTTCTTGTAGTTTTTTCAAAGACATTTAAATTGTGTTTCTTAGCCTCTTACTATTTAACGTTCCTATTACGCTACTAGGAAGCCTGTCTTGCATGTAAGTTAGACTTCTTCATTTTGAAGTAGCTAGCTTCCTTCAGTACATACTTTCAAGTTATCTTTAGAAAGCTTTTTCCTTGAAATTTGGCAGACTACAATGAGCGCACCAAATAAAGCACTGGAACTACAGCTGCAAATGAAGCAAAATGCTGAAGAGCTGCAGGATTTTATGAGAGAATTGGAGAGCTGGGAAAAAGATATTAAAGAAGTGGATTCTGAACTAAGGAAACAGAGTGGTGTCCCAGAAGAGGTAAAAATCACAAGTCCAGTGTGTATTAACTCAGTGATCCATAATGTGATAGTTTATAGTAATTACTTTTGGCTTCAGCAAAAGTGCACATATTGACTTAAAATATCTGGATAGAAGGTACAAGCTAACCCAGCTGACTCGTTCCTCATGTGAAGCAGACCAAAGATTCCTCTGTAAACTGTTCCAGCAACAGCTGTGGGGCAGTAGCCTCTGGACGTGATGGGCCAGTAAATTTTTAATCACTTCCAGGTAGAGCTAGGAGAATATTTCTGTTTGCAACATCAATATCACTTATTTATTGATGAGGTTTAATGTATTGGTGGGATACTTTGACACTCTGCAGTGAGTTGTATTCTAAAACTTAGCAAATATTACATGTATGACATAAATTTGTTATTACTGAAAGATTTATACTTGCTGTCCTTAGTAGTTTTGTAGAGTTCCTGAGAACAGCTTGCTGGATGGATTTCTAATATAAAACTAGCCAGTGATACAGATACTGTATCTAAATATAGGTGCTATAGATACTTCAATACAAGTGACTTTTACACATATGTTTTATAATCTATTACTTATTTCAATTTAGAATTTGCCACCAATTCGAAACAAGACTTTTAAGAAAAAGAAGAAAAGCAAAAATAAAGTCCCTTCAAAGATAACCACCGAGGAAAACAAGAAAAACAAGATCAAGTCTTATGATTATGAAGCATGGGGAAAACTTGATGTGGTGAGTCAGAATATTTGATTATTAATTGAGTCTTGTCCCCAGTTGATTTGGTCTTAAATTAAATTTTCTTACAGTGTTGAGTCCAGTCCACACGTCTGTATATTGCTGTGCTGGGTACTATATGAACATAGAAAGTAGCTCTCTTCCAAAAAAAAAGGTAGTGTTTAAAATTTGGACTATTGAGAAATACTAGTTTTCTAGTGACTCTGCTCTCATTCAGCAGACTGAATTTGACTTTAAGGGGAAAAAATGGTTTAATGATAGATCTATTAAAAAGTCATAACTGTAATAGAGTTAACTAAAGCACTAAACACAGCTGGCAGCATTAGAGAATAGATCTTTTACTTTTGAAGTGTGGAATACTCCTCGGTAAAGAGGACTTAAGCAGAGATTTTTCAGAATGCACTGCTAGTTCTCTTAAAGTCTTGCTCGATTTATTTTGTATTGTTAAATCATAACGAAGATAATACTTTTTATCTGATTTCAGGATAAAATACTTGAAGAACTTGATAAAGAAGATAGTACTCATGATTCTATATCTCCAGAATCAGACTCTGAGGAAGATGGAATCCGTATAGATGCAGAAAAAGCTCTTGCAGAGAAGGAAAAGGTTATAGCATTGTAATTGTTTGTTATACTCAGTTTCAGAGCCAGTTCTGTTTCATATCTTTATCAGTGATCTGGATGAGGGAATGGAGTTCACCCTCAGTAAGTTTGCAGATGACACCAAGTTGGGCAGGGGTGTTGATCTGTTTGAGGGTAGAAAGGCTCTTACAGAGGGATCTTTACAGGCTGGATCAATGGGCTGAGGCCAGTTTTATGAGGTTCAACAAAGCCAAGTGCTGCATCCTGCACTTGGGACACAACAGCCCAATGCAACACTACAGGCTTGAGGAAGAGTGGCTGAAAGCTGCCCAATGGAAAAGGACATGGGGTTGTTCATTGACAGTTGGCTCAATATGAGCCAGCAGTGTGCCCAGGTGGCCAAAAAGGCCAGGAGCATCCTGGCTTGTATCAGAAATAGCATGGCCAGCAGGGACAGGGAAGTGATCTTACCCCTGTACTCGACACTGGCGAGGCTGCACTTGAGTACTGTGTTCAGTTTTGAGCCCCTCACTTCAAGAAAGACATTGAGGTGCTGGAGTGTGTCCAAAGAAGGGCAACAAAGCTGGTGAAAGGTCTAGAGCAAAGTCTTGTGTGGAGCAGCTGAGGGAACTGGGATTGTTTAGCCTGGACAAAAGGAGGTTCAGGGGAGGCTGTAATGAGGTGGGTGTCAGTCTCTTCTCCCTAGTAACAAGCAATAGGGTGGCCTCAAGTTGTGCCAGGGAGGTTTAGATTGGATTTTAGGAAAAACTTCTTCACCAAAATGGTTGTCAAGCGTTGGAACAGGCTGTCCAGGGAAGTGGTGGAGTCACCATCCCTGGAGGTATTTAGAAGATGTGTAGATGTGATAAGTGGTGCTTAGGGACATGTTTTAGTGGTGGACTTGGCAGTGTTAGGTTAATGGTTGGACTTTATAATCTTAAAGGTCTTTTGCAAACTAAGTTATTCTGTGATTTACAAAGTAGCAAGTTAGATACAGGAGCTTTTGTAGTTTCTTTTAAAAGATTATGGACTGAAACTACACTTCTGGTGGAAGAATTGCCTGTTAGGAATGTTCTCTCTCTGTTTTCCTGCCCATTATTACAACATGCAAAATTTTCACTGCGTTTCTCTTTCTTCCCATCACCAGTTGCAGCAAACCTTGTCAGAGTCTGCTTAATGTGCATTGATGTTGATTAATGTATTAGTGGGTTTTTGCTTTGAGAAGTTGGATTGCTGTATAAAATTGCCATGGGGATCAAACTGTTGTTTATCTCAACATGAAGTCTGAATGCCACAGACTAAATCACGAAGAATTTAAGATTAGTTCCTTTGCAAGGCCACTACATCTGGGAATGATGGGCAGACTTGTGTCTTTCCTGCCTTGATAATAGCAAGTTCAGTTTTACCTTAGATTGCAAGTAGAATACAGCAAGACCTATCTCATCCTTTGTTGTCATGTAGATAGGCAAAGCTAGTTGTGTGACAGCTGCTGTAGTTCTGAGAAACTTCATTTACAAGCAATCACTTAACACCATCTGTCAGTCCATACTTCTCTGTAGTAGAGTTTCTTAGGGGTTTCTTTCTCTGCATGGGTGACATCTGCCCTTTCCCTGCTGCTGTAGAAATTACCTGAGGTATAATCTGCAGTCTACACTGAGGAATTGAAATGTCTTTGACCATTATTATCTTGACTGCAGTGAAGCAGTTGAGGGCACACAAGATGAAAGTTGTGTCCCAAAGAAGGCAGAAATGAATATATTTGCCTTGGAAAGTGAAGATGCCCAATCTAGTTACTATCCCCCACCCCACAATAATTCAGTAATTCTCTGTGGCAATTTAGGCAGCTATGTATGTGTTTGTTCCTGGAAATGGCCTACAGATACTGAAAAACAGTATATAACAAAACCCTCTTATTGCATAAATCATGAGAAATATTTAGTATAAGATACTTGGAATAAAATAATAAATAATAGAATAAATGTTTTGCAGTAAAGCAGTGCTTTAGAGATATTAAACAAAAACATTTGAGCATTCTAAAATACAAGCTTTGATATTTTTTTTTTTCCCACCAAAAATTAGTAATGTGCCTATCAATGTACAGTAATTTGCCAGTAAGACTTTCTTGTATTCACAGGGTAATAACTACTTTAAACAAGGGAACTTTGATGAAGCTATAAAATGCTACACTAGAGGGATGCATTCTGATCCATACAATCCAGTATTACCCACAAACAGAGCATCAGCTTTTTATAGAATGAAAAAGTAAGACTTGTATTGTTAAATCCTTAATCTTTTATTTTGAATGTTACCTTCAGATTTCTTGTCTCATTTTAAGTCTTGATTATGCTGTTATATTACATTACATATTATATACACATTATATGTGTAAGACTGCTGTTGCAACCTCCTTGCAGTTTCAAAGTAAAATAGGAATTGCTAAGATAAGGAATCTGGTAGTCTCTCATCTTTTTTTTTTCCTCTGCTTTCATGTTGTAAGTTCAGAGTCTTCTGTGTTACAGCATATGACTTAAAAAAAAAAAAAAAAAAAAAAATCAGATTCAGTGAGCTCTATTTCTAAAGCTTTAATTGTTTGGGGGAAAGAAAGAATGTAGGAGAGTTGGTTATTCTTTCTACTGCAGTGGAGATTGACCTCTATTTTCCTTTCCTGTTTTTATGTGTTCTCAATTGAGAGATATTTAAATACTTGGTCTGTGCCCCTTCTGAAGCATGTAAAATTTCCACTTTGGAGAGAACCTGTTAAACTTCAGAGTAAGCTAACCTGATGATTTTTGGGGTTTTGTTACCTAGATGTTTCCAAAATAACTCATTCATATTTTTGATAGGTTTGCTGTTGCAGAATCTGACTGCAATTTAGCACTTGCTTTAGATAAAAATTACACAAAGGCTTATGCCAGAAGAGGGGCTGCTCGCTTTGCTTTGAAAAATCTTCAAGGTGCTAAAGAAGGTGGGTCCTTTTAAAATTCTTTCCTTAAAATACATACAAACAGTTCATTTATATGCTTGATTAAAGGTAGTGTGATTGCTTATTTGGTGTAGGAATTTAATTTTATTTTCTTGTAAACAGATAAATAGAATACCATATTCTTCTGTCAAGGTAAAATTCAATCAGCCAGTCTTAATGATGATTGTAGGTATTAGAAGTTCTAGAATAATTCAGCTTTAAATGTCTTAGAATAGTGTGTTCTTTGTAATATCTCTGGCCTTTCAGGTAACTACAAAAAAAGGTTATCTCAAAAGAACACTCTTCTTTTATACTGTGGTTGCTAGTTTGTAGTTCCTACCTGAAACATTGTTTTCTGATCTTCTAATAGATTATGAAAAAGTTTTAGAGCTGGATGCAAACAACTTTGAAGCAAAAAATGAACTGAAGAAAATTGATCAGGTAAGGAGACTAATAAGCCCTAACGTAAATTAATATGCCCTGTTGAGTTTATATTTGTATCAACTTATAACAAGAATAGAATTCAACAAAATCTCATGTGATTTTTCTGGTATTGGTAGTTCACTGAGGTCAAAATCTGTAGTTGAGTTTCTTCTGGATTAGCCAACATGTATGCAAACACCAGTGTAATGGTGGATTAGCAGACTAAGACTGGATGTGTGAACCAACTTTTTTTTTTTTTTTTAAAATCTTCCTTCATATGTTTTTTTTCTACCTCCCATGTTAACGTTTTTTTTCAGCCATGCTTAATATTTTGGAACAAGGTAGGTCTACATATAAGAAAACATGTGTAACGCTGTCCTGTTAGACTGCTTGTAGTCCCACTGATTGCTGTGGTCTGCTAAACCACAAAGTGGGTTTAAGCCTAGCAGAACATAATACTCCACTGCAAGTCTGAACCCTTTCATGACGGGGAGGGAATGTTAGTAACTACAAGATCACCTGTCACTGCTGTGTGAATATGCTTACACCTCTTCAACTGTACTTTTGAAAGTGCTTGAAAAATTCATTTTCAAAATGAAGAACCAAAGTCTCCAGTAATTGAAGATATTAATGATCTGTAAATTGGAACGTATGCAGACAGGTTCCTTGGGTTATTTTACATTGTTTCATTTACATTGCTTCAGAAATTAGATACTTTTTATTTACCAAGTAAGTTTCTGACTTGCAGTTCTTCATAGAAATACATTGTCAAGAACAGTTCAGAATGATCTCTTCAGTTTGCATTCAACTTAGAACATGGGCACTTCTGTTAAAACGCTTGACAGATTTTTGCATCTTAAAAGTTTTAGAGTTTGTTGTAATTTATGTTCTGAAAATGTGTAAATGGGGGAATTATGGAGGAAAAAAAATACATCTTTGCAGGCTCTGTCATCAAGAAGTTCTGAACAGAAAGAGTTTGAAGATGTGGTCAGACCAGAATTAACAGATGAAGAGAAGCAGCGCATTGAATGCCAGCAGCAAAAGCAGAAGGCTATTACAGAGAAAGATCTGGTAAGTCACAGGTTCTGGTGGAATAGGAGAGATAGCAAAGAAAAGTGTTGTGCTATTAGCTATGCAAATATGTAAATTAAACTTGATATTGTGTTGTACTTCATAAATACAGTATTATTGATATAATTTTGTTACCCATTTTGGGCTCTATAGGGAGGGGGAGAGTGAAGTTCTGTTTGGACTTTTCTGGAGGAATAATTTATACAAGATAGCTTTTACAGCCCAAATGGTATATGATAAATTTCAAATACATAGTAAGATAAATAGAACTTCATTTTAGAGATCCTATTTCTCCAGTACTATGTACATCTTGACCTCTGCTTGTTCAGGTAGAGTTGTGGGCTATTTCTTGTCTTTTAAACCTCTTGATTACATGGTGAAAAGTAGGTATGAAATGGACTTCAGGGAGTGCAGGCAACAATGACAATAAAAATGTATTTCTGGATACATGGTCTTGACTCACAGTCAGCTTATTGTTTTTTCCCTCTCCCCACTGTTGCAATTAGGAAATAACGTTATCAACTAAAACATAATTTTCTTTCTGTTCTCTTACCTCTACCTATTTAACTTCTGACATTTAATCAATATTCAGGTTTCCTATACTGGTTGTAAGAGGTAATTAGTAGGAAAAGAATGAAAGCATAGATTAAGTAGGGAAGAGGAACAAAAGTTTGAAGAGGCCACAGAGAAGAAATCTCAGTCTAGTGCAGTGCTTTGTCGGTAGCAGAGTTGACTTGCTGTGGGCCTCTTCCTGACAGCATGGATCCTGTCAAGTCTGAACTCGGGCCTTTGCTTTTCTGCCTGTGAGTAGAGTAGTGGCAGTGAAGATAATACATGGCTTTATATTAGTATTGAGAAGCAAAAGGTAATTTTAGTCTCTTAGAAACAAAAAAATTAATGTAATTTTGTTGTATGGAGCATTAATTAGAAAATAACAAAGTACAAGGTGGCTTATCCTGCACATCAAGAGTGAAGATAAATGACAAGCTATAGACTTAAAAGTTAGCAAAATTTTTTTCGTACTAGAAAAAATTAAGATTTTTTTTTTTTTTTTTGTGGCTGTCTCCAAGCTTAGATATGAAGAAATATGCCATAAATATCTGCCCTGATGTGGGAGTCCTTTGTGATCCAGCTTCTTGGCATTGTGACCCTGTCTAACTCAAAAGGATAAGATAAGCTTATTGCACAAGATCTTTCTCAACGCTATTCTTTTCTAACCTAAATATTACAGGGTAATGGTTATTTCAAAGAAGGAAAGTATGAGACTGCAATAGAATGTTATACCCGTGGTATAGCAGCAGATGGCACCAATGCACTTCTGCCAGCTAACAGAGCCATGGCCTATCTAAAGATCGAAAAGTAAGTAGGACTGCATGTGCTAGACTGTTTCTTTCTTTGTTGTGAACTAGACAGAACGACCCAGTAGACTTTCAGTCAGGTTAAATTACTGCCACTCCTAATCCTTTTTATAATTCAGTCTAGAATAAATCATATTGAAAACAGTAAGGGAAAAGAACAGCGCAATATGTGTGAACTTACCATGCGTTTTGTGGGAAATAAGTTCTGAGAGAATAAAATAGCCTCAGCATAAAATTATAGTTCCTAAAGTGTGATTTTTCATTTTTGTGTCTAAAATTCTAGATAATCACTTTTCTCCAAAGGCCTGCCCAAAGCCTTATGTCTTTTTTGACTATAAAAACCAGTCAGCTATTAAAAGTTGCACTGTAAAAAGAAGTGGATTATATCTTCTCACTTCAAAGGGAATGGTGGGAAAGGAACTTTTTCTGGAAATTGTCATCTTTTAAAATATTTTTCTTTAAGTCCACTACTGGAGACATATGTGTATTTTTGATTAAACTCTGTTCAAATAATCCAGTAACAGTACAAAATGCATGCTTTCTAGCAAATGAGAGAAATTCCATATGGCCATTTTTGAACTCTGAATTTTTTTGACTCCCTGATGGTATGGCAGATTAAACCTTTTAAACTGGTAGCATGAGAATTAGAGAGCTGAACATTATGTTGGTCATCCTCACATGATGTGGCTGGGTATCTGTAGAAACAATACCTTGATCTCAAATTATGAGATTATAAAATAGGTTGTATAGGTAGTATTTCTGACTCAGCATTTGTAATTTAGTACTGAGGACATCATAATGCAAATAATGTTTTCAGAGAGTTGGAGGAAGTGATATTTTAATTGAATGACACAGCAAGAAAATTAATTTTGTACGATAAATCAGTGTATTGTGGGTTTTTACATTTCAGAGAGGAACCAAACATCAAGTGACACAGAATCTTACTGGTATTCTTATAAACCTCTAGAACTGATAATAACTAAAAAAAAAAAAAAAGTTTCCATAAATTTAATGATATACTGAAGAAGGGGAAGAGGAATGAATGAAAATACTTTAATATACATGTAGTGGAATCATGACCTAATATAACTGGCATGAGGAAATTTGATATTACAGTGAAGCAAATTACTGCAAGGATATACTGACTTCTCATTCTGAAATAGTTAAGGACAAGTCACAGAAATTCAGATGGAATTTATTCTCCTATATGCTTGCTTCTCCTTACTTGTACTTTTATTGTATGTTTGTAATGGTATAATATTTCTGGTTTTCAGAAGTACAAAGCTATGATGCTGACTTTTTAAGGCTATTTAATGTTTAAAGTGGACTCTGCTCTGACAGGCTTTAAGTATTTTATTTTCACAGAGCAAGTGAATTTCTCTGTGATGATAAAGAAAGCAGTGTGTCATGAGATACCAAAAGAGTTTACTGAAATTTCAAGGTGCTGAGAAGTCATATTTTATATGTTTACTTTTATTTTACATTTTAGCTCAGTGGTGTGTATTTATATAAGTAATTTAAGATCTGTCTCCATATTTTAATTACTTTGGGTAGCTCTGTCTTTTCAGATGAAACTGCCTCTTAAAACTGATTATTAATTTTGTACTAATCTTTTGCTGAGATATGAAGAGGCAGAAAATGACTGTACACAAGCTCTGCTCTTAGATGCCTCCTATTCTAAAGCCTTTGCCAGAAGAGGAGCTGCCAGAGTTGCTCTTGGAAAGCTAAAAGAAGCTATGCAAGGTATGACTTTGAATTAGCGTAAGTATGATATTAAGCAATAAATACATCCTGATTTTTTTTATCTAATAGCAATTAAATCAACTGCTGACTAATTGAGATTATCAGTGCAAAAGTTGAGAGGGCTTTTGTTATATTGCATTGAATATATAAAACCTTTTTGTGTTGGACCAGAAGACAGTTTTATGTGAAGTAACAATTATTGTTGCTTATGCGAAGTAGTAAGAAATATTTTGAAAAAATATGTTCAAAAACTAGGTCATTACATAAACATTAGGGTGACTTACCTGCCTTTAATTAGTTTAGAGCTGTGAAAGGAAAATAGAAGGCTTTAAAATTTTTCAGGAGTATTTGTAACTTGAGATGTATACAGTTTTCATGTTGTTTTTCACTCAGACTTTGAAGCTGTTCTGAAGCTGGAACCTGGAAATAAGCAAGCAGTAAATGAACTCACTAAAATAAGGAATGTATGTATACTTGTGCTTTTTATAAATTTTATTGTAAGCCTATAGTAATAAAATGGTTTTATTCTTTATTATGTAACTTTTAATGTATTATGTAATTGTATTATGTAATTTGAGGAATAATTACATTATTACTCAAATTTTTGATCTTTTGGACAAATTACCTTTTCTTCCCCTCCCCCCTAGGAATTAGCTGAAAAGGAACAGTGGACTCATCAAGAATATCCTGCAGTATTGATAAAAGAAACAGAAATAAAAAACATAGTGAAACTGATTGATAATCCATTAGACCTGAAATCAACAGTAAGTTGTTTTGTGAGTTGTCTTCTATAATGATGGGAAAAGTAGAGCTTAGAGTTAAAATCCACTTCCTTATTTGTGTAGACTAACTCCTGATAGATACATCTTGCCTGTTGAAAGCCCAAAGTGTACAGATTTACTCTGGTGATATTTTTCAATAACATAACTTTCAATAACATAATCACTTCCATGCGTGTGTAACAGCAGCAGCGGTGTAAGTGTTCAGCCTACAGTAGCACACTTGGGAAACATGGCATATGCCTGCTGCATCTATACTATGAAATGGGGAGGCAACCCTCTCCTGGGTCCCTAGCTAACACTGCAGTTGAGAGTAAGGGGGAGGCGGGTGAGTCTGTATTCAGTTGCAGATGTAAGAAAGCTCTGGATAAACTCCCCTTCTTTTCATCTGCTGTTTATGGCTTCTGTAGCAGTTGTGGTAACAAGACATGTTGCCTACTGATGTCATATGCTGGTGTCACCTAGGGCTACAGCAAGAGCCTTGACCCTGCATTTTCATAGACATAAACTAGAATAGCTGGGTATTGGTTTTCAAAAAGCAGTATATTTTTTGGACTATGAATTATCAGTAGTTAAAGATTTAATGAGCTACATATGACAAAATATGATGGTACAGCTTAATACCAGCTTTCTTTATGTATTAGCCTTCCCCTTTTAATAACATAGAATCTTTATACGTTCAGCAGTGAGTTGTGTAAATAGAATGCATGCTCACACTTGTACCACTGTAGTGTTCTGCTCTTAATGGTTTCAAAATGTTTACCTCCATTAAATATATAATTCAGCTGCATAGTTTTTGGAGAAAATGCGTGATTATTTTGATCTTGGCAGGGTGGGAGAGGGGGGATGATGGGAGGGTGGAGGCAGAGTATTATATGCTCTTTATAACCAGATATGATATTTCTAGAAAGGTAGATAATTTTGATGTGAAGTAGCTGAAGTACTATAGAGGATTATATTAAGTTTTCAGTTTGGCTGCTAAATTAATGGGAGACACTAGGCTGTTTTTTCCTTGTTATTCTGTTAAGGCAGAACAAGTATAGGTGAAGCATCTGTGCTTTTAGTACTGCCCAAGGATTGGAAGAGAACACTGTAATTTTGTTTCATATCCATCAGGCAGCCTCACAGTCTTAGATCAATGATGAGATGGTATATTGTCAAGGCAAACCATGTATTTTCTATCAATACACCAACAAGACAGGGTTTTTTTGGCATGATTTAAGGCAGTTTGCAAACTGCTGCAAAGAGATGATGGGATTGTGTTAGAGTTGGGCAGAGAAATCTGCTATTTGTAGAAGTCTAAATTGTTCAGTGTGTTTAATTGTGTATATTTGCTTCTGTATTTCTGGAGCAATATATACTATGTTCATGCTTGGCACATGAAATTCCAAAGTAAAAAGTGATGAATTTTTTTTCTTCCCCCCACTCCGCCAGTGCTTCTTTGCAAGATCTGTGAGTGCTAGGTAATGGCCAAAAATAATAGTAATCATTTAGAGATTAAATAAGCTGAAACATTTTAGTTAGCATGTCCTCTAGTGGTGAAATTAATTGCCTTATGATGTATGTAACTTGGTCAACCAGCAGGGCTGAGTTACAGGTATTTACCATCTAAAAACTTTAAGTTGAGGGTCAAGGTCTGTGGTGCTGGATGGATATTGTTTAGCTAAATTACAAAGCTTGAACAGTCATTGCTCAAAATATATGGTAGTGCTAAGCTGCCTTTTTTTAATTTTGTTTTTTATTACTGAGAAAACAGAATGCAGATTCTGAGATCCTCTAAAGTGAGGATACACTGGTTTATGAGGTAAAGCAATAAAATGATCATATAAGGCTTGCTATAGAATGTCATGAAGTTTCCCTTTTTGCCATTTATCCTTATTGAAAGTATCTTCCATGTGCATCACTACAGATGAAACCAGTTTTCAATAGATTATTTAAAATTAAACACAGCTGTTTATCTGAGGCCTGTATATACAATGATGTTGAGGCTACACACATGATATATGTGTTCTGTTTAGAAGCCTCTGCGAAGAATACCCATTGAGGAAACTGATGATGACACACCAAATAGTGATTTGCCCAGCACTACTGCTTTAATAAGTAACTGGAGGAATTCAGTGAGTGTTGAAACAACAGACAATCAAGATCAGGATGATCAGTTGACTACAACAGACATTCCAAAAGCAAAGCACTTGAAAATAGAAGAAATCAGTGATATATCACCATTACAGTAAGTATAAAAATTCTGCTCTTCTTTGTAAAAGGTAAATGCAGTTGAAATGTAATCTTCATTTTCAGTTTTCTACATGTGATGTATCAAGCATTCTTAGGAGAATCTGAATTAAAAAGAAAATACTGAAAGAAACTGTAGTTCTTAACATGTTTGCTTCTTTGATCATATAGTGGCTAAGTATGGTCTATTTAGTGTCAGATGGAAAACTAGTTTTGTCCTTACATTTCAAATATAAATAAATTAATATTTTCCTGTATGCCATACTCTTGCTTGTGCACTTCATCTTTCCTAGCAGTGATTTTTATTTGTAATGTTTTAGAGTAGATGCTGAGCAGAGTTCAAACATCCTTTGCCACACCAATTGTGAGAGAAAAGAAGCAGATGAGAGTGTCACCACTCTTTCCTCTGCTGAGCAGGCAGCCAATAAGTTTAGGTTTGCTCAGATTTCCCAAGTTCTGCTGTGTTAGCTAGACAAACTCAAGTCTGGCTGGCTGAAACTAGGCTGAAGTATAGAAGCCACTATCCTAACTTTATCCCTGCTAAGTGTTGGAACTCTACTTGTCTGCTTAGGAGAGCTCTATATGCATTGGCATTATCTCCTTCTTAATACTAAGTACTTCTTATGGAATTCTGATTGAAGAATTTTTGAGAAACAACCACCTGCCCCTCTTACCTACCTTTCAGCTTGGATGAGTTTACCGTGAAGCGTTGAAGAAAAAAAGTATATTTCTTAGCCATTTTATAACTTCTGAAAAATAAATGGACTTAAATGACAAATTGTAGGACAAAAAATAGCTCCACTGTAATCAGTGTTGAAAATGGTTTGTTCATTTGACATTGTTATTGTTTTGCATTGTGAAATTGCAGAAAATGTAACTATCTTTTTTTGCAGCTGTGTATGGTAGAAATCTGTACCATAAAATGCAGTTATTTCCAGAAACAAAGTAGAGAAAGGCTGAGTATATTTGTAAGTATTTGCAGGTGTGGGCTTTTTAGAAAAGATGAATCAAGTATAAAGCTTCCATAATTTGAAGGGTTTTTCAGATAGCCACTTAAACTAAAATACTATCAAAATTTTTTAAAATAATGTATTTTAGATTTTTTTAATGAATTGAAAGATTTTCAGTTAGGTCTCAGTGTAGGATTTCCCTAAATGTTTTTTTGATTGTGTTTCAAAATCTTTCTACAGGTTTCCTGCAAGTGTGAAAGGAATTTCATCAGTGTTGCATCCATCTTTCCCTGTGAACAAACAGAGGGAAAAAGAAATCAAAAGGTCATTTACGTCTGCTTCTCCAGTCCCTGCCATTCCAGCAAATTCTTTCCAGCTTGAGTCTGATTTCAGGAAGTTAAAAGACTGCCCAGAAAATATGTACTTATACCTGAAGGTATGAAATGTAGTATTGATTGGAAGTCCTTGGACAGTTGTTTCAGCTGACATCAGAGAAACTTTGGAAAGGGTGGCTATATTTAGAGTGTCTTAACAGTATACAATAGTCCCTTTCTTTAATTGTCTTCACATAATACTGAGTAGTTTGATCCATATTTGATATTATATATTTTTTTTTTAAAAATTGCTTAGAATTCTCTTAAAAGAAGTTAGCAATCATCATCACAAAAAACAAAAAACCCAAATTAATGTTCAATGTCAAACAGTACAAGTGATTGTTTTTCTGTTTTTTCTCTCATGCACTTCAGTGTTATTCAAGACAGTCTAAAAACTCATTTCTAGTTGCCACGACTCATCTGTATTTTTTTGCCTAGAAATAACACTTTTTTTCATTTTTTCAAAGCAAATAGAGCCTTCGCTTTATTCAAAACTGTTCCAGAAATCCTTAGATCCAGACTTGTTTAACCAGATACTGAAAATTCTACATGATTTCTATATTGAGTAAGTTTAACTCCTCCTTTGTTGTGCATTGCTTATTGCTATTCCTGGGGGGGGGTTGCATTTTTTTGGCTTTTTTTTTTTCCCTCCCTAGCCCCACAATTGGGCTTACAAAATTATTTCCAGCATGCAGCCTTACATAAGCATGATGCAGTAATTGGAGTGATTCAATTTTTCCTTTTTAAGAAATTAAACATCTTGAAAATTCAGATTTAAAAAAGGAAGTAAAAATAGAGTTTACTGTATGTTGTTGAATTCAGTTCTGCTAAATAGTATCAGAAACTGAATATAAGACTATATGAAATAATTTTTGTTCATATTACGGTTTATGTTATACATAACTGCACAATAATAGCTTTCTATATTAACTTTGTAAAGCTGAGAAATAGAGGGTTTAATTTTTGTACAACACTTACTGTGATATGTTTCAACTTCTATTTTTAATTACCTGCTAGAATTTCACAGTAGCCTATAGTAAGTATGTATTGGAGCTAGAAGTTCTGATAAGACAGGACAATTATTTTTGAAATTTATGCTACCATTTGAGTCTTAAGGTTCATTTTGTCTGTCAGAGGCAGTGTACTGCTGCTCTGAATTACTCTGAGAGCACACTCAGATTGTTTTTAAGGTGTTGTTTTATGGAGAAAAACAAAAAAATCAAACAAAAAGATCAATATTAGCTTTTCCCTCGATTTCTTTAAAGGTAAATATCTGTCATGTGGGTAAAGCATGACATCTTAAAAGATACAATCCTACATTTGGTGATATGACATATAAAGGCTAGAAAGTAGAAATTGTTTCCAGTAAGGTGAAAGACATTTCTGGAGGTAGACAGGACAAGTTATGAAAAAAACGGCTTTTTAGTATTTGTAACAAAGACAGTGCCTGTTTACTGTTGACCAAAAAAATGTAAAATGAACACAATCTATGAATGTTCTGTATGCTTAAAAATTGTGACAGCTGTAATGTGGTGCTTTTTGCTGAGCTTCCTATGGCCACAGGTGCTACTTCTCTTCACACCCCAACAGGTATAAAGATGGTGATGTTATGGCACGGTGTAAGCATTAAATCATATAAGAGCTGTTCTGTACATAAACAGCAGTCAGTTTACATCAGTCTAGGTTTTTGTATTTTTTCACTCTTGCTCTGTATCAGAATGATACTTGCATAAAGATTTCTGCATGTTGACTTCTTGTTTTGTGGAAACAGGGAAGATGAGAAAGGCAGTGAATATGAGAGAGACAGACAAGTGAATTCCATTGGTCCTTTAATTTATTTTTCCTGGAGTCTTTAATATTGCTTGCAGCTATTGAATCTTTCTAATCAACAGTAGTTATTTTTATATTTCTAATAATCTTCTTCAGGAAAGAGGAGCCATTGCTCATCCTTGAAATACTCCAGAGGCTATCTGAATTAAAAAGATTTGATATGGCAATAATGTTTATGTCAGGCTCAGAGAAAAAAAGTAAGTAATTCAGTAGTGTCCTTTTAAACTTAATTTGTGATACTGTAGAATCTAGCAAGAAAGATGTAAAATTTACTGCTATTCTTCTTGTTTATTCCATGTAATAATCAGTTTAGTTGTCTAGCTCTTGATTGTTTTAGAAGTTAATATGAATGTCATGTAATTTTTCTTAATCTTTTGATTCCTTATTAAGGCTTGAAAACTACAGCTAAATCCTCTTGTTTTTATCAGTATTACCACTGCATTTTATTCTGATAGAATAAGCTTCTTTAGCATTTTGGTTTGTAGCTGGTAATGTTACAAATTTATGAAGTTGTATGAAATCTTGTATCTGAGATGCAGTTTTTACAATTTATGACCATTTCTTGGCAATCCTGACTTTACTGTTGGCAAAAAGAATGCAGATGTCTCTAAACCACTCAGCCTCATCTGTCCTGTTCCTGAGGCATCACTTAAATTAGTTTGCAATTCAGGTTGACACTGGCTTGAGTTCATGGTTTATAAACATGGGTTTTGTCTCAAATATTTCCTTTATTTAGCACACCAGACAGGCTATGGAGCAGTGAAGCACTTAGAAGCAAAACACTTCTCTGGGACCAAATAATGTCAGATTTACTATCTACAGCTGTATGTCATTAATAACCATTATATTTTGAAAATTTTTATATGTGAATCTCCTTAAAATAAAATTACTTGTTTGACTTAATGAAGTGCAAGTAAATTCCTCTTATGAGTTGCATTCATGCCTTTAACCTGATCTAAGCTTTATCTACCATCTGGCATTAATTTATCTTCTGCATTTAATGGCATAGTGCCAAGATAGTAAACAAAATGAAAGCTGTCTCTGTGTCAGGATTATATACCTGTTTAAGGACATGTTACGTAGCTTGTGGGCATCAAAGCAAGAGCTTCCCTTTGCTACTTTTTTCATCCTCAGTAGTTCTAAAAATGTACTCATATTTCAGCTATATAAAATTAGTCTCACTGAGGAAAGAACTGGACTAATTTAAGAGTGTGAATAACAAAACTAACAGTTTATGCTGGGATTTTCTTTTACAGTTGCACAGGTACTGTTCAATCATTTGAGACACATGGGATTGAAAGACGCTTCTGTTGAAGAATTGGAGAAGAAATACGGCATTTTCTCTTAATGAAATGACTGATGTGTGAACTTCTGCACTTATTTCATGTGGAAATCAGCTGAAGACAACTGGGATTTTGTTGCTTTTGTATAAGTAATGAAACTTTTAAACTTGGTTTAGCCAAATGGCAAGTGCCTGAAGAGATAATTATCTTGGTCTGCAGATATGTTTTCTTTCCAGCATCTGAAACTATGCAGATCTACATTATCTTCAGTGGAATCCTAAGAAAACAATTGGGCAGTTTGGCATTCCGGGTTGGGACTGTAGATAGAGATCTTTATTAAAAAGGAAAAGAAAAAGTATTTATAAACGTCTTTGGTAAGATGTGCATGTCTCATTTTAGAAAATAAACTGAATATTGAATTGAAGATACTAAATTTTTGAGGAATTTTTTCTTATTAATGTGCCTAAATCATCCTTCTCTAAGGATGCACCATATCAGAACATGTAATGTGCAAAGCAAACCTGAGGTGTGATGGCCAAAAATATTCCAGAGCTCTTTTACTTGAGTTTACCCAAAAGCTGAGTTTTAGCATTGACAGCTGAGGTATTTCTGTGAACCTCAACCGTAATTGCAGAACAGAAAGAAGCCAAATATTGTTGAATGAAACTAGAAGTGTAGGGAAAAATGCTTTTTGATGTCTTCAGAGAGTACTTTTAATATATTCTAATGAAACTTTCTTTTGGGTCAGTTTTTCCTAACAAGATAAAGCCCTTCAGAAGCCTCAGGAAGCTAAGCAGAATACCTTTCCAGTATGCAGAAGACAAAGGCAGGAAGTCACCTGAAATTCTTAGATGAGATGAAAAATAGCATTAGGCATAATAAATTCTTTGTACTGTTCATGTGAACACAAGAAGGAAATAACAGCACTTTTCAAGTATACTGTAAGATTTAACTGTAGTATCCCAAGAAGTGGCATCTAAAAATTTCCTTCTGTTCTCTAGGCTTGACTGCTGTTGCTTGCGTCCTCTTGATACTAATGTTCTGTCAGCTTGCTTTCGTCCTGATTCAGCCCCTGTGCTTTACTGATATTTCTCTGACTGTGGAAGCCTTCTGACACTAATGATTTTGTTTTAGTAATTGTGCAAGTTTAATCATTCAGAAGAGTGATTAAACTGCTGTAGCATTCAAAAAAGACTTCAAACTTCCAAGGTGAATTAATAGAAAAAAGTATGAATTTTATCTGTGATGTAGTCAGTATTAGAAAACTAATTTTTAAAACATCTGCAGGTGTGTAATGTCCTAGTTCAGATATAATCCAGTTATAAAAACAATGTAAGAGCTGCATCCTTGGGCTAGGTAGCAACTGACATGGGTAGAATGCTGGATCCCTAAGATAGTTACTAGTTAGCCCTGGAACTCAGCACTAGCGGAATAGCTGGTGTTACTGGTGAAATGGAAGAGCCTTTATATAACTCTGCTTGCAGCTTACATACCATATGAACTGTTATTACTAGGTGTGTCCCAAGTTACTGGATAACTGGCCATTTCTTCCCCTTGTTGCAAAGCACTTCTGATAATTTATGTGGGGTACTGCTGTAACAAATAGAAGTGGGGGGAGAGTAGTTATCAAGGTAATTTTATATGCCTTTGTAGGTACAGTGTACCTTCTTATGGACTGTTATGAGTTGTTCAGTGTAGAGCTGAGGTGTATGCCTCACTGGGTTATACTACTAGAGCATTTGTTACCTTCACAGAAGCTGCTTCTTGAAGACTGTTGGATGGAAAGAATGGTTGTAACATGGATCCTTGACAGTAAAAAGCAAAACGATAGCAGAAAGATACGAAAACCAGGCCAGGAGTCACCTACAACTCCATCCAGTCTGCTATGCTTTTAATGAGAATTAGCTGCTATATTTGTTTTCTGGTCCCACTGCTTTTACAGACATTTCTGTTCAGGATTTGTAGGTGTAGAAGGCTGGTTGAAAGGAAGCTGTTGAAGCATGTAGAATTTGGTAGGGTGAATGGGTGGGCTTGATTCATGTTGCTACTGAACTTAGGCCCCACCAAGATTTGTCTTGCAAGTGATACAGTACTGTAGCCTTTTGCCGTATCTGATGGGGATTTGCCAAGTCCCTGAGGTGCCTTTTCAGTGTGCAAAAAACTGCAAGATGGAGACCAGAACGCAGGCATTCCGAGAAGTGCTAGCTTCACTTGCTTCAGGAGATGGCAATGTTTTTCCCTTCTAAATTGTTACAGATTGCCAAATCTCTGAATTGGAAGCGCTTTATGAAATGTGGAGAAGATTCATAGATCTGAAGTAAGTCCTTTTTTTGGGGAGAGGAGGATTTTGGTTGGGTTTTTTTTGTGGTTTCTTTTCTGGTTTGTTTTTTTTCAATTCAGCACCTCAATGGTTACATCCCTACTGTGTCAGGAAAAGAAAGTCTTGAGGTAAATAGTGTGAGACAATTGACAAAACAGTGTGGAATACTTTATAGCCCTTTGCTATGTTATGGCATTCAAGGTGTCAAAAATCTGAGGTCATGTTTGCTGCAGTGACTGATTCAGATTTGAGGTTTGACTGATTCCCTTACTTACCAGTATTAAATGTTATATTTTTCTAGATAGCTTTTTAACTTGTCAAGATCATTTTTTAGTTTGTGTTGTCCTCCAATAGATCTGGGAGATGCTTGGATATTGTCTATTGATTTCATCATTGTTAGAATATTGATGGAACTGATCCTAGGACATACTTTTGCAGAACATCCTTACAGCTTTCTGTTTTGATAGTAGATTGTGATTTTATTTTTTGCCTTTGTGATAACACTAGCTTGCTCTACATTCGTATGGTAATAATCTGAGCTGTGTTTGTCTTAAAAGAGTGTCCTGTGATAGTCAGATGTTAGGACAAAGATACTTCATCCACTTCTTTTTCATTATACTACTGTGGAAGAAAGATACTTCATCCACTGCTTTTTCATTATACTACTGTGGAAGAACTTGTTCTTGGTCAACTTGTGTCAGTTATTGTGGAAATCATAAGTGAGGACAGTTTAAGCACTTGCTCCAAAAGATTCTTTAGAATTAAAAATTCATGGTCTAGTCTAGTCTCTGGTCAAGGAGTTATTGCTTCTTTTCTTCACTCTTTTTCTGTTTAAAAATAGGTGTTTCAGCTTGCCAATTGTCAGCTGTAACTACTAGTACTACTGGTTTTGAGTCACTTTTTTAACATCTTATTAATAGATTTAAAAAGATTAACATACTAATTTTTAACATATCTTATAGAGAAGCCTTTTGGGTCCAGAGAACGTGTGAACATCAAACTTCAGGAAACTTAGATTCCAACCCATTCTTTACTTTTACTAGGCAGAGATACTTCTTTGTCAGTGATGTGAATGCAGTTGCTTGTACTTGCCATCACTAGGGAATACTGAAGTGAAAACAGCCATCGAACGTTCATTTCTAATATCATCAGCTATCTGTAGTTCTACTTCCATCTTGCATAACTGACACTTCCCTTGGTTTTTTTTTTTCTTTTAATGCCAGTGCACTTTCAGAGAAATCTCTTCTTATTCTTGTCAACTGCTGTTTATTTTTGGTTTTTGGTTCTGATATGGTCCTTGTGTTCTCTTGTTGCTCCTACTTAAATAATCTCATTTCCATTATTTAGGCTTTTCTGAGATTGTTGGAGAGCTCTTTGTTCAGGTTCATCCCTTTTTACACTTGTTATCCTTCCTTTGCATTGGCATCATTTGAGCTTGTTATCTTGATATCATTTATTTGGGAACTGCCAGGTCTCCTGTAACCTTTTCTGCCCTTAGATTTTCTTCCCATGAGACCTTACTGAGTAGTGTTAAAACAGAGGAAGAAGCAGAGAGAAGACTAAGTGCATGAAGCTTTCAGAGTTACGTTTAGGTACTGTGATGTCTAGGGAGCTTGAGATTACTGTCAATATTAGAAACTAAGAATTTGGGGCGTTAAATATACCTGTTCTTTTCCCTCCTCCATCTATATCCCATCTGACATCAACTGTAAGCTAAGGAGGCCGTGCCAGTTTTCTGCCACTAGGGTTTTTTTTCTTTCTATAAATTAGTGCTTTTCTAGGAATAGCAAGAAGGGTTTTAATAAAAGCATAGGGCTGCACATGTGTTGACTCTCACTTCTCCCAAGGTGAAATTTGCCCTGTAGCTTTTCTTTTGTAGCAGCTGACAATCAGACTATGTTTTTCTTTCTCACATCATAGAGCCAGTGGTGTTCTGAACTGCACTGTATCACTGCTGTCTTTGCATGATGCTTTAGTAACTTCCTCAAGGTACATTTTTAAGGGCTGTGTTATTCAGAGGACAGAATGACCCTGCAAAATCTTTTGTTATTGATTATGCTTGAGGGAGCAGGAAACTAACCTGACTTCTCGGGAACACATCTTAAGTTTGAATCTAGTCTTCATTTAATATTAGCAGGTGCAAGTCTGCCAAAGGACCTGGAATGGCATTAGTGATTAATCTGACCTTATCTGCTTTACTGGTTAGACTTAGGGAAAATACAACTTCTGGAATATGAAGTGAAATTGTATTTTTCACTCTTGTCACATCTCTTAAAAGTATGTGGTTCAGCCTGATTTGCAGCAGTGAAGTTGTGTGGGTTTTATGCATCTGTCCCTTTGTACTATTTCACATGAATCTCTTGTATCGGATCTGTCTCATTGCATCTGTCACCATGTGCCAATTCCCTCTCTCTCAATTTCAGTCTTCCTTTTCAGTGTGCCCCTTCTGTTTCCATCAGGTTCAAGACATCTTATTCTTCAGTGCCTTCCTTTTTTCATTAGTTGCAAGCTCAGCCTCTTAGTGTCATTTGAAGGCTCCTTTTAATTTTCTGAAAATTTCTGCTCAAGGCTCTTTGTTTCTGAAAGCTCCTTCCAACAGCTCTGCTTCTTAAGGCTCTATTTTGTAGGAATACTGCACTATAATGTCTGGCTTTATAAATGGAAGCAAGCACAGCATTAGAAACCAAGGAAATTACTGCCCCTCCTTGCTTCCTGTTCAGGTGGTTACTGAGTTCAGTTGTGGTTGGATACACTGGAATCTTCTGCTTTTTTTTTTTTTTTGTAGTATTTACTTTATTTACTTTCCAAAAGACATAATCTTCAAACTTTAGTTGTTCTAGTCTGTCTTCCAACAGTTGTTGCGTTAATGAAAGTTTAAGGTGGCAGGGTAGAAAATAAATCGATTCCTTATTCCTTCATACCAGTTAAGTCTCCTTGGGTTTTAAAGCAAGAAATGGACTGTTAGGCACAAGTACTGATTACATTAACCAACAACTGGATATGTAAAAGTCTTCCTTGTCTGATGAGGTAGGAAGATTCATGTTCTGTATAAACTATTAAAGTCCTGTTTTGTGACTACATACTTGGACATGTCTGCCACAATGAGCTGAGCAGCAGATCAGAGTCTAAGTGAGGAAACCCAAAAAACCTTCAAATAAACAGAAAAACCCAGATTTTTTTTTACTTTTGTATGTATCACAGGAATGGCTGCTTGTACTTCAGGTTGCAAGGTCATGTACTTAGAAGCAGCTTCATCCCTAAAAAATCAGGACTCTGTATGAATATCACCAAAAAGCAGAGATGGTTTAAATGGTTGATTTGCCTGGCTGACATTGTGATGGGACAATAGTATCTGACTCCTTAAGTCCAAATCTGGGTCTCCTTGGCTACATCAGGCTGAGTATGCAGTTTGACAAGTGGTGCTTGAACGTTGTTTATCATGATTTGTTATCACTTCTGGAAAAATCAGGAACACTTTGCTGACTTCAGAAAAGTGTACTCCAGGGTCTTTGGGCAGTGGAAATGCTGCCAACTTTTTCTAAAAAAGCCTGAAGATGAGATTGTTGAAGTAATGAGCTACTGCTGTACACCAAAGCCTGTGTGGTAACACCATGTAGCACATGAGCCTTGAGGATTCCAATTCTGTTCTTGGTGTTAAGATTTCTTTGCATTTTGTGGTTGGATTCTGGTGGTTGTGAAAATTAGCAAGGCTATTACAGGGTTACATCTTATTAAATGCAGTATTTAAGTGAAAATGTGTGTATGTTTTCAACAGATGGGTAAAAACTTTTAAAGGAATATTTTCTATACAATCTGTAACAAAGAAAGGACATGAAATAAATACTCTATGAATTTGCCAGACCTTTGCCATTTTATTCTGCTTCATATTTAATTCTTTTGTGGACAAGCTTGTGTGATTGATTGGTAAAGCCTGGCCTCTCTCATCCAAAAATCTGCAAGCATTAATTGAGCTTAAGGAGAACATCTTTGTTTAAATTTTTAT